GAATACTGAGTATTTTCTCCCAATCCTCATATTTGAGAACATGGAGGAGGATACGACCTGAATACCATCATCCACATCACTGATGGTTTGTACATTATCAGAATGTAACCCAGTGTTCCAGAAGAGATATTCTTTTCAAGACCGATGGCAGGTATTGTAACTGCCATGTAGAACATGAATTCCATGAACCTTCCACCTCAGAACATAGAACCCTAAACTTCTCGAGCTCTGGAGGAGGGGGTCGATTTCTTCTTTGCTGCCATAGTCCACTGAAACCGGTACATAGCATGCGACCTGGCATTTGCGAACCGTACGGGACATGATCCCCGTATCTAGCAGAGCCATAGCCGATGGCAAAGCTCCAAACCGGGTGTTGTCTGCCAACGGTCGCTTGATCAACGAGGACATATTGCCAGTTGACGTGCTGAGTCCCATATCTGGGACTTTTCTGCTAATCCTTGGGTCGCTAGTCGCCTATGGTCAGAAAATTGCCTATCCCACGTTTGAATAAATCTAGAATCTGGCTATGATTCTGATCGATATGCATCAAGGCGCACATCGTGCCCACTACTTGTCCAATGTTTGCGGTACGCACTCTCGCTACCCCGACTCGTTGCCCACAACAATCACGAACTTCATCCTGCGCTTTCTCTCGTAGCAGGTCCCTGCTGTCTGTCTAGACGGGAGTTCCTCTCACCTGTCGAGGGTGTAAATGGAGTCCATGGCGTCTGAGAATGGCAGGCGATTTGGGTCAATGACTATCATTTGCGTAAGCATCCTGTTGACCAGAGTGCCTTGCAGAAGCAGATGCTGGTGCCTGTCCCGGAAGAATTCATTAAAATTTTCGACTAGACTGCGTGATCCACAAGGGCCGACCGAATTCCATTCCCCGCTGCTCCTGGCCTCATATGCGTAGATGTCGATGTCGAAGTGAGCGTCGTGGCCGATTGAAAGATCCAGGAGACTTTGCTGGTATCTAGGATCTATCGTAGCATTAATATCGAAATCAGATAATTCTCGAAAGACAGGGACTCTGAATACCCTACCTTGACAAGGGTAGAGTAAAAGACTTCGTAGGGGTACTGCGACCCTGGAATCATCCACCACAGTAGCTATGACAGACGCAAAAGAGAAGAAAGGGTCACGATGTCGTCCTGCTTAAATTATGCAGTGATATGCCTCCATTGAGGGGTGGGCTGGAATAAGCGGCCTCCGTTCTCGAAGAACAGCTTGTAGAATTACATTTATTCTGGCCCTCGCAAGTGCTACTTTCGGCACTGCCGTCAGTCATAAGAGCCAGATAGCCAAAAGCGTGGCCTGCATGGATGAACGTGGGGTTATATACCCCGATAACTAACCACTGGGTTCCTTGTGAGGTAGCGAACGAGGTGAGGAAACACGGACAGAGAAAGCAGATTATATGAGTTGAAGGAATCTGTTTCTGGCTAATTTACGAGCCTGGCTGTACTTCGTATCTACCTCGTAGGGCCCACTCCTGCGTAGGTTGCTATCTGATGGTGTCTTCGAAGTTAGTCTCAGTTCGCCGTGCTTGGAGGCCAGTATTAACCGCCAACTTGCTTTGCTCTTCTGTACCTCTGCAACTTGGAGGGAAGTACTGACCATGAACAGGTACGGATGTTATGTATGGCGCAATCGCTGCATAAAGCCAGCCCATACACCCGCCGTGCCTCTTCTCTGGTTTACCCCTTTGATTTGGTGGTAAACTTCTAGTTATAGAACAATGTGGCCCGTACATCAGGAGTTTGCGAATGGGGTATGTCTCAGCACGACGGGGGCGTAGGGCAAGGCTCGATTTATCACGAGCTTCTTTTCTTATCGTTTTGTCTTCTTTGATTGAATCCATCTGTCAATATAAAGGAAAATGTTGGAGAACATGTTAAAGGTTGTTTTAACAAGGGCTCTCTTGAAGAAGTTAGGGTTCCAAGATGTCAGTGATGGAGCTGGGCCCATAAAAGAAGCAGAGAAGGGCAGACATCTATTATAGGTGGCCATAGACACGCTAAGCCAGGCAAATGGCTTGACTGGTGCATAATTGTCGTCCTCGTTACTTTGTTCGACCACGAACAGCGACGCACGGAGCCTATACGCATGGCAAAGATCCAGTTTGGAACTTTGGAGCTCATTTAGGCTTCCTTCGAATGCGAGTTTAGCGAGATATCGGTATTGTCGAGGGCCGACACTGGCTCACTACCCGTAGGCACAAGCAGAGGGTGGTCGCTCGTCCTTGAAGTCATCTGCCTTGGATATCATTGTCTTCCATTTGACCTGCGGTAATGGTAGTAAAGGTACCGTCACGAAGGACAAACTCAAGACGGCAGATATCTGCGAGCACGCACACATGTAAGTCAATAGAACTGACGCAACCCTTGCGAGTCTATATGTAGCTGTCCTTGTAAAACTCATTTAGGCCACTTGGGATGCGCGCCATAGTCTTAAACTAGAGGCTGAGTTATGCCCCTCGCTCTGTATAATCGAAGCTGTATTTATCTGCGGCCAGCAGTACATCCAAGATCTGCACAATGTTATGTGCATTGACATCGCTGATTTTGGACTGGCATTCCATGCTTGTCCAGTTTATAGACCTTGAGAACACCACTCACAAAATAGTTGTCGTTGTGCTTTCTCAAGCCAATGATATAAGCGTATCATAATACTATACTCTTAGTTCTCTCAAAGTCTCCGACCACCGCTTTCAATTGCAAGGGTGTGACCCCTGACCCTCAGGGTGCGCTAAAGCATATAACGATGAACCGAGATTCGAACCATACAGTATCCCGTTGGCATTTAGACCAAACCGCCCCTGATATTGCATTAGTGGCCGTTCTTCGTATGGTCCATCAAGTCACTTACACGCTTTGATCATTTCCATGACCATTTCCTTCTTGAGTCAGCTGCACAATATTGCAACCGACTGGACCATGCTTACAGACCGATGAACTCCCTTATGTTCGAGGGGTTTGCCCGCAGACTATATATAACAGACCAGGCCCACTCGAGCCAGCTGTTGACTATACTTTGGCACATGCTGCACAACCAACCAAGTTAAACCCCCCCTGCGGAGTGCGTTGACGATAATCATATAGATTACCACTGTTTGAGCCCCTTCTTAGCAGGGATAGTTCAAGGTTTGTGAATCTGTCAGCAATTCAGTATGCTACTCAAGCGGAAATAGAGCTCCAGCCTGTAGCACCCCGAGAATGATACGTTCATTGTATCAGAGCCGTACACGATATATCTCTTCGGCTGACTAGGTGCAGAAGAGATGTCGTTCCAGAATGTAGTGATGGACTCCTCCACTTCGTCTCTTAATAGTCCTGTAAGCTTTTGTATGTACCGTTTTGGGTGCATATATTCCGTCTATAGTTTATTTGATACGAAAGTCAACGACGTCTTGGATTGAGGGCGCAGAAGACTTCTTGCAAGGCGGTAGAGGTATGCAAGCAATGGTGTGCTGATAAGATATTAGATGGACGAAGCCACTGACCAAAGACGAGATAGCTCTTTCTATCCAAAGGGTTTGAATGGATGATCAAGATGAGATAGCTTTTCCAGCTCGAGAGACTATTTAAGAGGGAGATAGGAGAGGAAATATATGTCTTCTTATATCTCTCCAAAGGTATGAATTCACAATACTATTCAATCCAGTTCGTAATAGAGTGACAGTCAACAGCAGATAGAGAATGCATCCCATGCCCCCATACCTCCAGCAAAATTCACAATGGGAATTATCTACTCCGTAAACTAAGTTAAAAGTATAGACCGAAGTCAACATAAGATTAACCTTCATAACGAACATTCCATTCCCCCCGATCGAGGAATGCGATATGGTCTACTACACAGTCCTAGTAGAAGTATGTACAAACTCTCCCGAACCCTAATCACCACGTCAATTCATGCCCTTCATCAAACATCTTTATTGAATAGTGTAAAATAGAAGCTCAGGGAATATTCATTCAGAGTAACATGATCTCGGCTGAGGTCTTAATTACCTCGCAAGATGAATGCTGTCAATACCCTCACTCTCCTCGGCACTTGATTACCCGACCATCTTGGCGTCTATTTCTCAATGACTATCTTTTGGTAACTAACGACCTGTTCCTGTGAGTAACAATATATTTCCCAAGTGTATACAATGTCTCACTAACCATCCCCTAACAAATATATATTTATGTATTTCCTAGGAAACAGCATCATACAAAGTTCACCACCTTACATGTACCCGATCCCTAAATCCATTCCCAACCCTAACTCCTCAGACACAACAAACAACCCTAGTTAAAACCACAACCACCACCACCACAAAACTATTAATAACTCCACCCAAAGAAACAAAAAGCAAAGGACAAGCAAGAAAGGGAAATAAAAACCCTCAAACCCCTCTTTCATCGACGGCCCCCCTTTCCTGTTTCGTTCTTTTGTTTGTTACAGATCTCAACGCAATCCCTGGTTGCAGTGGTGGTGTATGGACCAATGTGCTTGCATCGTGGAAGAAGAAACCGTGGTTCGCAGTGGGGGGGTTTGTGAGGATTTGTTTTGGGGATTGGAGTTATTAATTACATTTCTTTAGAATTGGAAATTAGGATTGGCGTTGTGGCTTTGGATTTTCATTACTTTTTTCTTGCTTTTCTGTTTTATTTCTGGTTGTAGTGATTGATTCCTGGTAAATAGGGCTTGGAACTAGTGACTACGAGTCCGAGACACAAGGGTCTAGATTTCAATTGAAAAAAAGGTATTTTGAATAGTTTCTTTCCCGTTGATCCACTTCGGTCCCCGAACTGAGGAACTGGAACTGTGAACTCCTACTTACACCGCGATTCCATGGAAGAAGCCAACTGACCCAAGTGAACCAACTGAATAACCCTGGCTCAAAAAATGTAACACCGATCCCTTTTCCTTGCCTAATCCTCTAAAAGTATTTTTGTTTTGTTTTTGGTTGTTTTTTTTTATTGTGAAATATTTACCGAAGCGAAAGTTGCCCATCAGGATTGGTAGGTGTAGGCCTTTCCACTGGCGCTGAGGTCGCTGCCCTCCAGCAAGAAGCCGTCGGCACACATGTAGTAGGCATAGCGACCGATGCCGCTCTGCGAGTCGAGCCAGGGGATCACCTCGTTCAGGAAGTCGGTGGATTCCTGGGTGCCCGAGCCGGCCGTCATGGCGCTGCTGAGAGCGAACTCCGTCACCCAGGTTTCCTGGAGGTTGTACTGGGACGCGAGCTCCTGGGCTTCCTGGACGAAGGTCTTGAATTCGTCGGCCGAGGCGCCGTACCAGTGCACGGCGAGCACGCTCATGCCGCAGTCGGAGCAGGCGTCGAGGAACTGGCGCATCCAGCCGAGACCGACGTCGTTGCCGCCGCCGTTGGTCACGGCGGGCGTCACCAGCTTGGCCTTGCCGCTGTAGGGCGTGATGTATTTGGCGTAGGACTGGGCGGCCTCGGAGGGGGTCATGGCGGCTTGGGAGCTCTGGTCGGGCTCGTTGAAGCCCATGATGTAGTTGCAGCCGCTGCCGAGCAGGGTTTGGATGGTAGTGAACCACTCGCCGAACATCTTGCTGCCCCAGAGCATGGGCACGAACTCGACGTTCGAGGGCAGGGTGCCCGAGGAGACCATGTTCCAGTCGTAGGCCCAGGAGATGGCGCCGCTGCTGCTCAGGGAATGGACGGTCGAGACGTCATTGTAGGCGGCACCGCGCTTGTTGGAGGAGCGCTTTGTGACGTGCACATGGGAGTGCTGGTGGGCGTGAGGGGCGGCCACGGCAGTGGAGGCGACAAGGCCGGCAGCGATGAGCTTGGTGAAGGAGACCATTGTGATGGGCTTTAGATTCTGTAATTTTTCTCAACTTGGTAATGTGGGTGTGACCAGAGAAGACCGGTTCTCTAGATAAAGAAGGTCGGTTAAAGCAAAGACAGTGGCGCTTGATTGTAATCAAGCGGGACTTCTCAAAGGAATGACAGATTGACCGTGCACGGCACAGGGCAATACCAGATAATGAGTGTGGGAGGGAGAGAAAGTGAGAGAATGCGGTACGGAGGAAGGAGGGGAGAAGGAAGAGAAAGCAGGAGGTGAGGGGGAGGAAGTAAAAAGGGTTATATAGGGCATCCCTCTTGCCCTGCCCTAGTCCGGTGCTCGAGTGGAAAAGATATCCTCGAGAGATGTTTACATTTGGAACTATACTCTTTTATGTCTAGCTGGTTCATGGCAGTCTTGGAGAATGATTGGCATGCGAATTATTATTATTCTAAGAATAATAATAATTATCAATGGATTTCTGTTCCTGTGCCTGAGTGCCAGCTCCTCCCGGAACCACGGATGCGTCACCAACGGCACCGAATGAGCTTCAGGGCAGACCTCCGAAACACCATGACAATTCTTTTCAATTACTGCATGAATCAGTAGTACTGCACAGTACCACTGGTCACATCGGGATACCTGCAATGGGAAATTAAAATCTCCTACCGTCTCTGTTCTGAATCTTCTCTTCTTCTCCTGGGCGGGGACGTCCGTCGGACAGTCGGAATGTCAACAGCCAGTCAGAAGGACCACAACGCAATCCGACCTGCAGGTACAGGTACACACACTTGTCGGTGTGGGAGAGGAAGTGATGGATTGTACTGAAATGTACATGGACATGCAGGACACTAAAGCGGCGCTACACTAGTTCAAGCCCACTCCACTGCGGATCTATTGGCAGTCCAGACCTGGTCCACCGGGTAATCTGAATGACAACTCTTCCGCTCCCTCGTATTGTTTACACATCAGATTCTCCGGAAGACGTGTCGAATATTGAAAATGCCATGCAGCAGATGGAGGACAAAGGTCTGATTCAGGTCTGGGGATGTTCTCTCTCCGTCGCCAAAGGAACTGCGATTGATCGGCCGTGCCAGAAAATCTGACGAGCGTCCAGATCGGCCACCGGGAACGAGTTAAGCATCAGCCGGGGTCAAGACTAACGGGATTTAAGTCCAATCAGCCGTTTTCTAGCGCCCGTCGGCCACCACATCTGAAACAAAGGCGAACGAACTCCCTCACAGGTGACGTGTGCCGCAAGCCATCTCAATATATTGATGGCGCTGCCGGTCCTATTTTTGGGCTCGTGGGCGGAAGGACGCCAAATACGGTCTATATAGCCCCTATGTTTAGGCACCGATGTTGTCTCTCTGTTTGTCCTTCTCGTTCTTTCTTCTCTCGGGTGCCATGGATAAAACGCCCCCCTGAGGGTCTTCCTCGTCCGGTATTAGCGGCTGTCAACCATAACCTGGGCCCGGCCTATCAATCCAGTGGCCCACGTCTCGACTTGGCCGCCCAAAAGTCAATCTATGCCAATGACAACCGTCCTAACCCACCATGGCGCTCTGCAGTCCTCCACATATGGAGACGCACATGCTCTGGCCAGTGGCGAGAACATTCAGAGATTTCTTGTCGACCGGTGTTCCAATGGAACCAGTGAGTGGTGAAGCAGACGAGGAATGTTCCCCGAGCGTCTCTTACTCATTCGGTGAGGACCGTTGCGTCATCCATCCTTGCGTAGACTGACTCGTCCTGTCCGTGCGGAGATTAATTATCTGGTGCAGACGGTTTTCCCGTCGGCGTTCTAATCACTGACAGAATCTCATGCATGGATCAGTTCATTATTGGTATTGCAGCCGACCCTAGACTGAGTAACACTCGGCCCTCTGGCTGCGATGCGATACTTGACATTGAAACATAACCCCTCCCTGCAAGGTACACGAGGGCTTCCTCATCTGGCCAATCATGGATCACTCCGGATACACCCACAGAGACAGTGTTCAAAGCGACTTCGGTAATTTAGTGAGGTTGCTGCATCGTCTCTTTGCTGGCGGAATGTCGCCGAGCATCGATGTGGTGGCGATCATCCCATCCGTATATCGGATAAAACACATGACCGACCATCTACAAATATCAGTATGCCCTAGAACGAGGATGGACACAAGTACAGGTCACAGTAAAGAGACGTAGTGGGAAAAAAAAGAAGGAAATGGAAATATATATGCATAGATCCAGAAACAACAGTGGTATCACAACTCATGAAATGCATAGAATACAACATAGCGCTCAATCTTTCTTCCTTCCGTCAAGCACACGCATCACATCAGAGACACTGTCCTTATCCCCCTTCTTCTTCTTCGGTCCACGCTTTCTCTTCTTGCCCCCACGTTCCTCCAGGATCACCTCGTCGTCTTCGTCATCCTCGACGCGACTGCTTCCGAATCCAAGATCCATATCCATGGCATCCAGCTGCTCGCGACGGCGGGCTTCTTCGAGGAACTTCTTCCTCCGAAGGAGAGTCTCCGAGTCGGCGTCTTCTTCTCCATCGCCAGCGTCATCGTCTGCCGAAGACTCGGCTCGTCGCAAGGCAGCAGCCCGTTTGAGGGCAGCGAGCAGGGTGGGATCTTTGGTGAGAGGGTTCGAACGATCTTCTTCAGTAGTCTCCGTCGTAGAAGTCGAGAAGTAGTTGCGCGGCTTGGCTGGTGCTTCACCTGACGGCTTCGGTGTCTCCTTTGGCGCTGCCTCCGTGGTGTGGGCTGGCTTCTCTCCAACCTCACCATCTGAGTCCGAATCCGACGACTCATCACTCCCGAGATCACCAAGAGGGTTATAGTCGTCACCCACGCCCGCAAAGATATCGTCATCTTCATCCTCCGACGGAACAGACGCCTTCGCTGCCACCTCAGCCGGCACCTCCATACCCAACGGCTTCGCATCCTTATCCGGAACCAAGAGACCGCCAGCATTGGTCTCACCCGGCTTATCCAACCACCTCACCTTCCTCTTCGTCTTGCCCTCCGCATCCGTAATCTGTAGGATCTCCTTCCGCCGCCCAGTCTCATCCTGCTCCACCCACCTCTTCTTCTCGACCTTCGAATCCCCGATCCGCTTAAACTTCGACCCCAACGCCGGCTCAGCCGCCTGCTCCTCAGCCGCCGCGGCAGCAGCCCGACTCGCCCTCAACTGCTTCAAAATCTCATCCCTCGACTTCCTCCCCGGCGGCGGCGCCATATTCCCTTTCTTCTTCTCCTTCTCCCTCGGCGCAGAAGGCAACCCCTCCCCCGTCCCCTCCTCCAACTTTTCCAACTCCTCATCCACATCCCCTACTGGCTCCTCCACCACCACCTCCTTCTCCTCCTTCTTCTCCACATCCTCCCCAGCCCTCACCCTCCTCAACAACTCCCAATCCAACCCCTTCACCATATGCGTACTGTTCAA